TTAATAATTTGTGTCAACCATTTTCATACAAAACATAGTTCTTCTAATTTGGTTAATCTTTAAGATAGATTCCTAGAGATAAAATTACTTGAACAAGGGGCTCAGCGGTTAAGAGCACTGACTGCTCTTGCAGAAGACCTGGGTTCAAGTCCTAGCACCCACATGGAGGTTACAAATCATCCTTAACTCCAGTTCCAGGGGAATCCGATGCCCTTTTCTGACCTCCTCAGCATTGCACGACACAGGTACACTCACATACATGCAGGCAATACATTCATACACATTAAATAAAAACAATAAATAAAATATTTTTTAAATTACTGGAATAAAATATACCAATGCTTCTTAATCTCTTTTTGGAAAAAGATTTATTTTTCAATTATGTGTATATATCTGTGTATGGGTTTGTATATACACACATAATGCCTGAAGGGGCCAGAAGAGAGTGCTGAATCCCCAGGAGCGAGAGTTACAGGCAGATGTGGATGTGGGAATTCTACTCAGGTCCTCTGCAGAAGCAATATGCACTCTTAACCTCTCAGCCATCTTTCCAGCCCTGAATCTCTTGATACAGATTTGTCAGATTGTTTCCTGGGAAAGTTTGAGCCAATTTACACTCTCACCAAAATTGTGTGGGCATATATACCCTGCACACTGTGCCCAGCACTCTGTAATCACCTTTTAAAAGGCCATAGGGAAGACATTGAAGATGCTGACTCAGTTAAACTCATGTTCCTCTTGTCAGCTTTTGGGCATTCTTAACGTATCAACCATGTGAATAATTTATAATGTTTGTTTTATTTATTTTTATATTTTTATTTTTATAATTTATAATGACTAATATAATGTAAATACTATGTAAATCATATAAAAAGAAAAATGTATATATCCAGGACAGATGCCAAACCCGCCACTCATCTTGCTGCTTCCCCACCTTACTTGTTTTAAACACTTTTCCTGTTTCCTTATTTTTAAATTTTATTCTTTCTTAAAAGTTTGGTTTATTGTGACATTTTATGTACAATTAGTAGAATTAGTCCTTTTAATATAAAGTTCTATGAACTTTCACAAGTGCGTATGATTAGGTAACTAATATCACAATCACAGTATAGAGACTATTCTATTACCGTAAAAAAATTCCCACTGGGCATGGTGGTACACATCTTTAATCCCAGCACTCAGGAGGCAGAGGCAGATGAATTACTATGAAATTTGTCAGTCTGGGATGGTCTACATATAGAGTTCCAGGCCAGCTGGGGAAACACAGTGAGACCCTGACTCAAAACAAACAAACAAAAAATAAAGATTTCCGTGCTCTTTTGTATTCAACTCTCCTCCTGTCTCCAGCGTCAGCTTCTGGCCATCTGTTTTCTCTCCAAATAGCCTTGACTTTTCAAGAATGTTACATCGTGCAGAACACAGTTGTAACGTGTGGTTTCTCTTCATTAAATAAAGTGTGTGAGAATGCCAGCCATGATTGTGTGTCAGGACTTTCTCCTTTTTACTGTCAAGTAATGTTCTATTGTATGGAATCCATTTAGTTTATCTATTTACCAGGTGAAGGATATCTGAGTTATTTCTACTTCTTGTTAATAATGAAGTCACTGCAAACATTCACATATAAGTGTTTGAACATATAATGTTATTCCTTTTTGGATAAATACCTACAAGTAGGATTGCTAGTCCTATAGTTTTAATCTTGAAAGTCCTTCATCAAAGGCCTGTGTATGAAAGGCTTGCTCCTGGGAAGCAGTATTGAGAAACGGTGGGACATTTAAGAAGTGTGGCCTAGCAGAAGGTCTATAGTCTGTTAGTCTTCCCACTTTTCTAAATTCTTCAGAAAAGCATAATCTTTCCTTTTCTTCTCTATATTCCTTTTCTAAATATACTTTCTTTAGGGCTTTGGGCTGCCCCTAACATCTTGTATTTCTTTACTTTCTCTTAATCTTCCTTCTCCCAGCCTTGTGGCTGACTGGCAGCCACATGTCTGACCCCCATGCAGGCACTAAACCTGCATGGCTCCAAGGCTTTCTTTCCTTCTTCCCACCATTCTCCTCAAGGCAGCTGCCAAAATCACCAGGTTGCCTGCCGTCCTGAGGATTTTTTTTTCTTTAAAATTCTAATAAAATTGTAAAAGCTTAAATCTTGTACCAAGGACTTTATCTTTTGGACTTCATCTTTAAAAAGCCCCCATCTCCTCCCAATTAAGATGGCATTCCCTAAATTGGCTCAGAGAGAGTGCTATCCCTGACAAGCTAAATAGATTAGGCTGATTCTAAACTTTTTGAGTCTGAGTAGTCCTTCCCAGTGGTCCTGAACCCTGTAACACTACCACAATGTGATGCCTCACCACAGGCCCAAAACAATATGGCCAGTTAACATGACCTGGAACCTCAGAAACAAGTATGCTTTTCTTTTTTGTAAATTATTTCAAGTATTTTGTGTTAGAGATAAAATGCAGAACTCTACTTTGTATATACATATAGGTAACTTGAGATGAATTTCAGACTATTTTCCAAAATGGTTCTACAGCTTTATGTCCTTATCAGGACTGTATGGGAACTATCTTTGCTCCACTTTGTTTTCTTGGGGTTTGTTTAGGTTTTGCTTTTAAGATTTTGGGGGCTATTCAAACAAATATATAGCAAGATCTCATTGTGAGTTTAATTTTCATTTCCTTGAAAATGAAAAACAAAAACAAGCAAATAATACCTAATGGAAAAATAACGTAACTAGAGGCCTGTGACTAGTCTGCTGCCATACCTATGAGCCCTCCCAGGCTTTGGCTCAACCTATTCCTCCATACCTCACATTGTACGATTTTCTTTCCTTACATATTGTTCCCAAAGAAGCACAGAGGAATTATAGCAAAGATCTTGGAGGTTTTCTTTCATTTAACAACTAAAATATTTGATATTGTATGGGATAAGTCAATTCCAAGAAACTTTAAGTATCCTGTGACAGTTGTTCAATGAAGTGTTGAAAAAAGGCCTACTCTGTGGTTTGACCAATAGATATGAACAAGCCAAGCTGTAGGAGGTAAGGACAAGATGTAACTTCAAAAGAGTATCTTTCCTTCCCTCCTGGTTTGCAACATTGCTGTTCTCTGCCCACTCCTCCAATGTTTTCTTGAGCAAGTCTGTGTTGGCTCTAGAAAACACCAGTATCCAACCACTGGCTTCCCCATAGCTACTCCTTGTACCCTCCTTTGAATTCTATTTATGAAAGTGTGTGTGTGGGGGGGGGTTAATTATAAGCTCCTTCAGAACTTTTCAAGAGGTATTTATCAAATGTTTTTAAAAGCTGCAATGCTAAACACTATCTCCCCTGCTCATCTACCCTTCAAAATTGGCACCAAGAAGCCAAGTTTATAGATGAAATAACTCAGAGGTTAAGTAACTTGTCCAGAGTCCTATAACAAATACTCATATAGTTTTCTCTGCTACCTCCTTCAGCATACCAAAAACTGAGTGTGTCAATTGCTAACAGCAAAGATCACAGCTTTGGAATCAAAAATACCTGTTTAATTTCATTTGATTGTTTCCTAGCTATGTGACCTGGGCAACAAATAGATTTAAAGTTGGTTTTCTCATCTACAAAATGGGAATAGTAGTGTCTCCTTGATGGTGCTCCAGTAAGCAGTAAAGGTCCATTAAGAGAAAATTCCTTCTGGTCAAGAGAATAGAATCTCTGGTTTCCGTGGAAGCCAAACATTCCAGTTAGGCTGGGACAATAACCTGGTCCAGGGTCACCCCTAGGAAGGTGGTTCATCTTAAGCCACACTAAAGAGATGAGTGGAACGATTAGTCCTTTAATGAGATCATGTCCTTTTTTCCCAGAATCCCCAGCCCAGTTTCCTAAGTCTGCCACTTTTCCAAATCCCTCCCCTTTGCTTCTCTCTCATTTCTAATCATGCTTTCCCTAACACTGAGCTTCCTCAACACTTTGGACTTCTTTACTCTTTCTCTAAAGCTCCCAGACTAACATGTGTCTAAGCTTCATGCCAGCTTAAAGGGTCTGATTTTTCCTTCCTTCTCCCCTCTATTCTCCTCTGGGCAGCTGCTGAGATTTACAGCTTGCTAGAGTTTTTCATTTATTCTCTAATAAAATTGCCCTCAAGCTTCCATTTGAGTCCATTCTTAAGTCCTTTTGTTAATGTGACTAAGAACCCTAAAAGGAAACATTGCTTCCCCCGGTATCATCTGGTAATCCAGATAGGACTTCCCCCAAATTCTGGTAACAATGGAATTGACAGGAGAATGCATTTTCTTTGTGTTTTGCTGTACAAAGAGCTCGACACATGCTACTATTGCATGTATAGTAATAAAGATGGCTTTTTAAAATTAATTTGATTCTTTAAGATGATGATCAAGAATCTAATAAATGAATGAATAAAAATTCCAATTACTATTCAAATGACATAGAACATATAAAATAGAATATTCATTCATTTTACAATTTTTTAATATTTTTATTTGTTATTTTTATGTGTACGCATGTATTGCCTGCATGGAGGTAAGTGCACCTGTGTCGTACAATGCCCACAGAGGACAGAGAAGCCTGTCAGATCCCCTGGAACTGGAGTTACAGGCAGTTGTTAGCTGCCATGTGGGTGCTGGGATTCGAACCTGGGTCTTCTGCAAGAACAACCAGTGTTCTTAAGTACTGAGCCATCTCTCCAGCCCCTTTGTTTTACAAGTTTTTGTTGAATACTATTCTATTCCAGGATGGTTGGGATGGGGTGAGGAAATCCTGAAACTCACCATTGTGATTAACTGGTGTAACCTAGTACAATGGGTTTGCCCAAGCCAATGGGTAAAAGAATGAGGAAAGGTTTATTGCACATGATGAGCACAGACACAGAAGTATCTCTGAGCAAATCAAGCAAGGACTTTTATTAGGGAAACTAGTAACATTCTACAGGAAATAGTCTCCATCCCAGGTGGAGAGGAGTGTGCTCCCCTGATGTCATACCTCTTCATACACTGCATGCTCAAAATATGGCAGGAATGGAATCAGGCAGGCAGGAATGTCTCTGGGCAGAGCATTTTAATATTACAATGAGTCAAGTTTACTCTAGGTCACTGAAAAGGGCTGGGACAGAATGACTTAGTGATTTTGTCTGGTTTCTTGTAAGTTTCTCTGGAGAGCCCAATCTGAAACAAAAAGTAACATTAGAGGCCCTTTAACAATCATTAGGCAGCTTTTCCCTGTAAGCATAGATGTCTTTTGAAAGTACTCACCTAGAGCTAACAATGATGTGGAAAGATAGAAGTTAATTATATAGTGCATTAGAAGGTAAGTGCCTTAGGAGATTGTAAGCAGAGGTAGGACGGAGCAAGTTGCAGTCTCACAAAATACTCAAGGCAGGCGGCACTCAGAAGGCACGATTAGGTTACTGGACGGGATGTTCAGGGTTTTTTGTGTTTCGGACAAAGAACCGAGCAAGACACAGAAAAGCAATAGTGAAAGTTTAAACTTAAAAGAGTGAAAAACATGGGGTATCCTCGCCCAGAATGAAAACATACTCAAGCAAGCATGTGGTTACTCAAGAGCCTCAAGTTCTTTTCCAGGGCTCTTAAAAGCTTAGGCAGAGGGAGGAACCAATCCCCTCACCCCCTCAGGAATGGGGTCCTGACAGGCTGTTATATTACTGTGGTCCATCTGCACATGTGCAGGGCCATACAGCCCGCCGTTTTAAGCTTTTGTATGTTCTTCATGCATATGCATGAGGTAATAAATTGGAGGTTCCCCCTACACGCAACAGGTCACTTCAAGGACAGATTAGCCTTCACAGCACTGTGCCCGACGCCATTCTAATTTGTCTTTTTTTATCTCTCTTATCAGGATGTAGCAGAACACAAATTAACCACCAGAGGGGAGGTGCTGCGTGTTCCCCTATGCGAAAAGGGAAGAAAAGAAATTTGTTTCAAGGAGAGGTGTAAGGGGTCTCGGACTGTTCCCGTGTTTGTCTGCCTCAACTAGGATGAAGTTTTGAAGAGGGAGTCAGCTGAATTGGCATGTAAGAGGAGAGAGCAGCGGATTTACCATGAAGTTACTAGAAGGTTACAGTTCAAGGCTTCTAATTCGAAAGGGTCTTTCCAGGCCTAGAATCTAATTTGGCCTGTAACATCTTTTTGAGGAGCCACAAAAGTTCTGTCTGAGGATTTAAAATGCAAAAATGCATTTTTGGCAGAACTAGTCGGAACAAAGGCTCTCGGGTGCCTGTCCTGTACAAGGAAGTGCTACCATGGTAGGAGCCAAATAGCAGGGGCTGGGGAGGGATCACACAGGGCCATGGAGTTCACTCTTTTGGTTTTGTTTTTTTATGGACAATCATTATGCTTTCTAACAGAGTGAGTTTAGACAGGATCTGAGTTAAAATTTCAAAGCATGTCCTTGCCTCCATATAGAGATCAGGCTTCAGGGAACAGGGGCAGCTGTGAAGGTCTGGGTGGAAGCCATGGCAGTTTTCTAAGAGTGGGAAAAGTGGTGATTTGGACCAGTATAGTGACAATGATAGAGATAAGGAGTGGCTGGATTCTGGCGTGTTTTGAAAGTCAGGTCAATGGATGGAATGTGGGTTGTGAAGAAGTGAGAAGCATCTAAGTGGTTGGGCTGTAGGAGATCAACAATGACGTGAGCCTTGAGGAGAGAAGGCCAGGTTCTGAGGCATGCCAGGTCTTATCAAGAGTTTGAGAGCTGGAGCGATGACGCAGAGGTTAAGAGCACTGGCTGCTTTTGCAGAGGACCTGAGTTCAGTTCCCAGCACCCACATGGTAGCCAGCTACCCCCAGTAACTCCAGTTCCAGAGGATCTGATGCTCTCTTCTGGCCTCCATGGGCATTGCATGTACATGGCCACTCACATGCAAACAAAATATCCATATATATTTTAAATTTCAATAAACTGTTTTTTTTAAAAAAGTTTGGAGTCACTGGTATTATATGAGATGGAAATAATTTAGATTAAGGTGCATCGAGATTTAATTCGTTAAAATTTACTTATAATTTAATTGTATGGATTGTTTAAAGTAAATCAAAATTAAGTGTCGCTTAATCTTCTCTTACCTACTCTGTGAAATTCACTGAAAAGATAGATTACATTCAGTTGAAGACTTGGAGTCCAGTACTAGCCAGGAATGTGAGCAAGTCATTTAAACCTGGAGTCCTTACCTGTTCATCAATAAAATGTGAGTTAGAACAAATTCCCCTTCCGTTTCTACATTTATAGTTTTATGAGTTGAGTCAGTAACTTGCACTTTTTGTTTTGTTTTATTCTTGATGTACTTTTAGGAAGATAATTTTAAGTAGAGACAGCTTGAAAAGCATTTTATAGTCTCCTCCCTCATACCCATCTTGATCTGCAAGGGAAGGACAGAGGCTGAACCAGAGACATCATCCGTGTTTATACCCTCAGTGTGTTTTTCATTATATAAAATTGCTTTGATACGTTTTCCTTTTTGTTTCTCCCTGTGGAGGGGAGACTATGTTTTGTTCTTTTTTTATTGTTGGTTGTTCATTTGTCTGACTTGAGACAGGGTCTCAGTGTAGCCCCTGCTGGTCTGGAACTCACTATGCAGACCAGGCTGGCCTTGATCTCACAAAGATTGGCCTGCCTCTGCTGAGTGCTGGGATTAAAGAAGTGCATCACCATGCCCAACCTACCTATATTTTGTTCTTAACAGCATTAATGAGATATGAGTCACATACTGTAAAATTCAGCCGCTTGAGTCACAAAATTCAATGGCTTCTGAGCCATACTCAGAGAGGTGCAACCATCATCATCAGTTTAAAACACATTTTTTTTGGTCCTAAAATAAGACCTTGTACTTAGTAGCATTCATTCCAATTCTTCCTACCCCAGCCCCGTTATTTCTGTCTCTCCCATAATTTTTATCTACTTATTTTTATTTTATGCCTACATGTGTGTAAGTGCACCTGTGTCGTGCATTGCCTGAGGAGGACAGAAGAGATCACTGGATCCCCTGGAACTGGAGTTATAGACAGGTTTTAGCTGCCATGTGGGTGTTGAACCAGGGTCTTCTACAAAAACAACCAGTGCTCTTAACCACTAAGTCATCTCTCCAGCCCCTGTCTCTACATATTTTTATATTCTGGAAATTTAATATAAAGGGGTTCCTATAACATGCAGTGGTTTGTGGCCTAGCTTTTTTCATTTAGCATAATGTTTTAAGGTTCATTCATATTGTGGCATGAATCATGGTATAAAATATTTTGTTTACTCATTCATCATTTGATGGATATTTCTACTTTTTGGCTACTATGAGTCACTGTAGTGTGAATATTCACACAAAATTTTCTGTGAATATGTTCTTTCCTAGACACAGAACTGCTGGGTCTTGTAATAACTCTATAATTTAAAGAAAAGTCAAACTGATTTCCAATGTGATCATACCATTTTATATCCCTACCAGCAATGTATGTAGGCTCCAATTTCTCTACATCTTTCTCAACATTCTTCTTATTATTATTATAATCATCCTAGTAAGTATGAAATGTTGATACATGTAGTTAGTGGTTACCATACCAAGTCAAGGATTAAAATGAAATTCAAAGCCAGAACACAAGTTCTTCTCTAATTAAAATTTTTTTAATATTTTATTTATATATGTGTATGTGTGTGTGTGTGTGTGTGTGTGTGTGTGAGTTTATAAGCACCACGTGTGTGCAAGTGCCCTTAGAGGCCAGAGGGCATTGGATTCCCTGGAGCTGGAGTTAGAGGCAGTTGTCAGCTACCTGATTTGGTGCTGGGAACTAAACCTGGGTCCTCTAAAAGAGCAATAAACATTCTTAACCACTGAGCCATCTCTCCAGTCTCATCTACCCTGATCTTTTTTCAAGCCACCACTTACCGAGCTTTTACTACACAGCAGTTAATATACAAAGCATTATCGTAGATTATCTTCTCTCCTGTTTGTCTATTTGTGTTTGTTTGTTTATGCTGGGAGTTGAACCCACATATGAGCCTCATATATGTTAAACACATGCTTTACCACTGTACCAACCCTCCATCCCTTTTGTCTATCTCATTTAATTCTCATGATGTTGTCACCAATTGTCTGATGGTTGTGCTCTATTCCAGTGGAAATCATGAACAGGCAAAGCACAACTCTCTAATTATCAGACTGGGAAGTTGGGACCTTAGTGCTAAAGCTCTGGGCTTTTCCAGTGGTCCAGCTCTTCTGCAGCCCTTTGCAGCCCTTTGCCTTCTCTGGTCTCAGCTTTTCACAGGCTCCTACATTCTCTGTACTTCCATAGTCTTCGACAGCCTCAGCTCTCTACAATCTCTGCTCTTGGCCACTCTCTGGAATTTTCCATATGCCTTCTAGCTGCTGCTGCTAGATGCCCCTGGGGGCTGGTAACCCCAGGGGTTGTCTGCTCTCCATATTACCGGCTCAGCCTGCCTTATCCATGATAAAGATCACTAGCAGGCAATTAAATACTAAGATGAAGCTTGTTGGGGCCTAGATTTCAGTGCACAGGAGGGAGGCTCTCCAAAGTGCTCCAAAGAGAGTGAGAAGACCATTACTTATATAAGCTAGGCTAGCTAGTTACACTGTGCATTAAGCAGTCATGGGTGAGTGATGTGCTGCTCCCTGACCAGACTGAGGAGAGCAGCTGTGGGCCTTGCAGTGTCTTCAGACAGCACCCAGGAATTCAGAAACTGCCAAGACAACAGCAGTACTTCAGATCTGGCCTCAGTCACTGCCTGGCCTGGGGCAGTTAAGGCTTTCTACTGGGAAGGTGCCACTGCTGCAAGGCAAGTGGCTGACAGCTGTCAGTCAAACAGCCCAACAGGTCCTGCCTGTCAGCTTCAGTCATTCCACGTGTTTCTAATACAGACTAAAATCTGAGAACCATTAGTTTTGTTAGAATTAAATTCAGTTGTAATGGTAAGAAATAAGGCCTTATATATGACAGTTTTTTTTTTTTTCCTCACCCATTATCATGCCCAGAATAGTCAGCTAGGACTGATACCAAGCTGAGTGCTGGAAACTGGGCTCCTACTTTCTTGCTTTGTTTTGTGTGGCTTGCATTTTCTCCAAGCTATCTTATTGCCCAACTACTATGCAAAATTCTGCTTGCATTCCAACTAATACAACTGTAGAGTGGGAAAAGAATACACACTTTTC